TAGTACAGTGAGGAAGGTTCTTGCCTTGCATGTAAATGTTCAGGGTTTAATTCCCAGCACCCCACATGGTACCCCGAACCCCAGATGGTACCTCGCCCGCATGGCAAAGCCTGGCAAGTGATTCCTGAGCAGAGAGTCAGGAGTAAGTCTTGAGCACTGCTGGGTGTGGCCCCAAACCAAGAAAAAGTAAAAAACAAAAATTGTTTAGTCCAGAAAATATAATAGATGAGAGGTGAGAAGTCTTAAAAAAGTGATGAGAAGAAAGAACGCACTTCACTGTGTGGGGAGCACTCCCAGTGGTACTCCTCCAGTTCAGGGTGTGGCTTCCTGGTGATTCCAGGATCGCCCCTATGCAAAGCATCTGCTCCAGCCCACTGAGCTCCAGTCCCATTAAAGCTGAAAATTTGGATAAAAAAATATAAATGCTGGGGGCAACAAGAGCGATAGTACAGCAGGGAAGGCACTTGCCTTGGGCGGCCAACCCAGGTTCAATACCCGATATCCCCTATGGTCCCCCGAGCAGCAACAGGAGTAATTCCTGATTACAGAGCCGAGAATACCCCTGAGCATCGCTGGGTGTGACCCAAAAGCAATATATACATTGTTGGAGCTGGAGAGATAATACAGCAGGTAGGGTGCTTCCCTTGTACACAACTGACCAGGGTTTGATCCTCAGCATCCCACATGGTCTCTGAAGCATCACCCGTAGTTGCAGAGACAAGACAAACCCCTAACCATGACCTCAAAACCAAAAAAAGGATGGGGGATGGGGGTGGGGGGATATTATCCATGGTGGTGGAAAATGGGCACTGGTGGAGGGATGGGTATCTGATCATTGTATAATCGAAACCCAAGCACAAAAAATTGTAAATCTACAACTGTAAAAAAAAAAAAAAAAGAAACAAAAAAAAATTAAAAAAAAAACAAAAAAATAAGAAAATATAAGCGCTAATTTTAAGGCCAAAGAATTTTAGATGATGTCCCCGAATCTTCCCAGGCAGACTGACCCGGCCTGACAATTCTGGGGCTTCTCAGAATGGGGGCAGATAGATTCCCCCTTTCTGTCCACAGACACACCCTCCGACACAGAGCTGTGACTACAGCTTCACAACTGAACCTCATCAGACTGCCAAGCCACCAAATCATTCTGGCTTTACAGTCCTCCGTGGCCAGTGCATCACCTCCAGATTTCATCATGCTGTCTGGCCAGTAGAAGCACAGCAAATCCAATGGGGAACACTGCCTAGAAGCGCACCAATCTCAGGGAGCCCAAACAATAACCCAGAGGCTCAACTAGCACCAACCAGCCCAGTAAATCTTCAATGACCCTAGTGACAACATTGTGATGCAGCGATTACCACGAACTGTCTTTTACTGATCTAAGTTTTGATCGTTCCATTCGACTTTGTGTTGGAACAAATATTATGAAGTAAATTTGATTGTGCATGCAAGGGGGCAGACCAGGGTGGTGCGTGGGAAACTGGGAATACTGGTGGTATTAGAACATTGATAATGCCTGAAACAATTGTATTCGGAACAACTTGGTAAATCACGATGTTATATTAAAAAAAATTTTTTTAAGAAAGAATTTTAGAATGGGGAGACAGTCAAAGGCATATGCTCTTCATGGAGGAAAGCCAGGTTCCATCTCCCCATAAAGGTCAAAGACTTTATTTATTTATAAAGACTTTATTTATTTATTTTTATTTTGCTTTTTGGTCACACCCAGTGATGCTCAGGGGTTACTCCTGGCTCTGCTCTCAGGAATTACCCCTGGCTGTGCTTGGGGGACCATATGGGATGCCAGGAATCGAACCCGGGTCGGCCGCGCGCAAGGCAAACGCCCCACTTGTACTATTACTCCAGCCCCTTAAAGGTCAAAAACTTTTTTTTTTTTGCTTTTTGGGTCACACCCGGCGATGCACAGGGGTTACTCCTGGCTCTGCACTCAGGAGCCACTCCTGGCCGTGCTCAGGGGACCATATGGGATGCTGGGAATCGAACCCGGGTCGGCCGCTGCAAGGCAAACACCCTACCCACTGTGCTATCTCTCCAGCCCTCAAAGACTTTTTAAATGAAAAATACACTCAAACTTATTTAATACAAAAGTAATAAGTGGTTTCTGTTTGGGGATGTTACCCTTTGACATGATACATAAGAAAGACCTTCTAGAAAGGGGAATTGTTTATTTCTATGTAAAATTTAAAGCCTGAGCTATTTATTCTACTATAGTTGTTATGGGGGGGGTATTTTATTTTTTATTTTTTGGGTCAACCCCAGTGATTCTCAGAGATTACTCTTAGCTCTGCACTCAGGAATCACTCCTGAAAGTGTCCAGGGGACCACTTGGGGTGGCAGGGATTGAACCCAAGCTGGATGCACCAAGGCAAGTGCCCTACCTGCTATATGATCATTCCAGCTCCTCTTTCTCTCTGATTTTAGTATCTAAGAATTATCCAAAGTTGAAAGCAAGAAAAGATTTCCTGCACCAAGAGACTATGCTTTTGGCACTATAAGCACTTCACCAATGAATTCTATAACTCACACAATTTGACATCTAAAGAAAAAGCCTGAGTATCATCAACTGATAAGTAAGGCAGGAAAGGGAACTATCTTGGAAATCAGGGAACATATCTTATTAATCTCCTTAGGGAACTTATCCTGTTCCCTAAGTAACCCCTCAGTACTACGAACTTGTTCCTCTGAACATGGAGATAATCCATTGAAAAATTTCCTTACCGGGGCTGGAGTGATAGCACAGCAGGTAGGGCGTTTGCCTGGCATGTGGCCGACCTGGGTTCGATTCCCAGCATTCCATATGGTCCCCTGAGCACCTCTAGGAGTGATTTCCTGAGTGCAGAGCCAGGAGTAACCCCTGTACATCACTGGGTGTGACCCAAAAAGAAAAAAAGAAGAAAAATTTCCTTACCTCTGGTTAAAAAGAAGGAGGAGGAGAAGGAGAAGGAGAAGGAGAAGGAGAAGGAGAAGGAGAAGAAGAAAATACTCCAAACCATACTTGGACATCCCATTTTGTACAACTTCAAATTCACTGTTTTTTTTAATAGCTTCCACTCTAAAAGAGAAATGCAGCATTTCATACCTACCAGCTCTGGAACGTTCACTCAAGCTTGACTCCTCTATGGCTTGACTCAGCCCAGGCTCATAAATCACATGAGAACAGTTCCTGTCTGCCTGTAATAACCTGCCTTTTTTTGTTTTGTTTGATTGTCATTTTATTTCCTTTGGAGGGAGGGGGCACACTGAGCTGTGCTCAGGGCTTCCTCCCAGCTCAATGCTCAAGAATCACTCCTGGCAATCTTTGGGGGACCATATGGGGTGCGGGGATTGAACTCAGGTCAACCGTGTTCAAGACAAGCAAGCACCCTACTCACTGTACAATCGCTCTAGCCCCTCATCCATTTTTTTTAAAAAAATAACTGCAGCTGATTTCACAACACACAGTATTTCAAAAGATGGGACTTTTCTGCCCTGGAAGACCTGAGGATTTTCTTCCTTTTTTTTTTTTTTTAAAAAACGTTGGTAACAGCCTCCTGAAAATTCTCAGAGCCTGTGATATGGGGTTTACTTTCACCATTTCTTCCAGCGGCCCCCCACTTAGCTCCTGAAAGTGGTACCGGACCTGGTCTATTCCCTAAGGCCTAGGCCTGAGGCCCCGAGACCCCCTACGGAAGGTGGTGGCCATGCACAGCCAGCCTGCTCTCTCTCACTGATCTTGTCTAGCTACCCTCTGCAAAAATTGTTCATCTTGGAGCCAGAGAGACAGTGCAGCAGAGAAGTTGCTTCCTGGCATGCAGCTGACCCCAGTCAGATCCACCAGCAACCCCCACCCGAGGCACCAAATGGTCCCTGACCATATGTGGTCCCCAATACCGCCTCCCCCCTAAGAAGTCTCCTAACTCATACAGCCCCTCAGACCTCCTTTGAATCTGCCTGCGGGATGCCGCCCAATTCAGGCGTTCTTGAATGAGAACAACAAAATCTTGAGAGCAGACTCCGAAGCATTTTGCTCTGAACAAACCAAAAGGTAAAGCCTTCCTCTATAAGTGCACTTACAAGCACGGGACACTCGACTCATAAGTTAGAAAAGGAAGTAAAATTTTCAGTTTGAAAAAGAAACCAATATTTTTTTTAAAAGTTCTTTCAAAAAAATACAGACTGAACAATAAATGATATAGAACTTTAACAAAATCTCGTAGGGCTGGGCAGTCAGGGTTTCAGCGCAGCAGTAGAACCCTGACTTCACATGCATAGGCCAGAATTCCATCCTCAACAGAAGGGAAGGGGAGGCAAGGGGTAGGAGGAAGGGAGGGGTGAGGAGGGAAGGGGATAGAAAAAAACTTCACATGGTTGAGTAGATCAAGCTATCTTATCCCTGCCTGTGGGAGAGCGGAGGACCAGCAGCCTGGCACTTCCAGGGACTGTTACTTTAAGTACAATATCAATATTGGGCATCATTATCCAAGCACTCCAAAGAAAACTAAACATTTGTACAGGGCTCCCGAAACGCACCCTAGGCAAGTACTGTCAACAGAATGAAGAGCTCTGAGGCTTTCCACCCTCCATTCATACCATCCCCCCCCTCCCCCCCCCCCCCCCCCGCAAAGTCTCCTTTGATCTAACCAGATACAGAGTTTTTTTTCTTAATGAATTTCACTTTCCGCCCAATTATTCTTGCAAAGCATGTGGAGACTCGGTTTTTATCCTTTGCTTGTGAAAGCAAAGACCCACTGCAGTGGCGATTGGGGGCGGGGGGGGGTGTCCAAGCCCCTGGCAGTGCTTGGCCCCAGCTGTGTGGATCCGACAGTTCAGAGGTGAGCTGAGGATGATGCTCAGAGCCAGAAAGGGCTGGGATGGGGCGAGGAGCCTTGCGCATGCTCCGTAAGCGCTCTACTACCACGCCTTTCCTTTTGGCGGGGGAGGTTGGAGGGGGCTGAGGGGACGAGCCAGCGTGCCCGGAGCCTGAGAACCGAAAAGGATACTGGGAATGACAGCTGCACAGGAGACAGCGGAGATGGCCATCCGCGTGTGGCACGTGACAAGGCTGTTCCACTGGGGACAGGACTTGTAGGAGATGATGGACTGCAGGAGCGTGTACAGGACACCGCAGACAAAAGCCAAAAGGGCACCTCCATCATGGACCACCGGGACTGCGAGCTCCTGCAGGTAAGATCACAAACGGGGCGGTGACTGCTAGCACGCGTGTCCGCACAGAGAGGGCTTACACACGCACACGCACACACACACCAGACGAGCGAGTGTGTCTGCAGAGAGGGGCTTACACACATACAAACACACGCACACACATATGCACTCATGCAGCACCCACACACGCATGCACACACATGTATACACACATATACACAGGCACACACACATACACACACCAGGAGGCCTGGGATGTTGCCGCAGCTGTGACTGCTAGTGAGTGTGTCTGCATAGAGGGGGCTTACACACATACACACACACACACACACACATACACACACACACACACACACACACACACCCCAGCCCTGGGATGTTGCTGCAGCTGTGACTGCTAGCAAGTGTGTCTGCACAGAGGGGGCTTACACAAACACACACACACACACACACACACCACACACATACACACTTCCACAACTGACGGAGCACCCCGGGAAAGGGCAGAGTGAGCGCCACCTTCCAGGCAGAACAGTTGGGTCAAAGGGGCTCTGAAGTCTGACTGACAGTTGAGACTGAAATTCTCGACTCTACCTCTGGGCATTGACTGAGACATGATGTGAGACAGAGACAAGACTTGGGGAGCTGGAGCCTCTGCATGCAGGAGGCCCGGGGTGACCTCCTCACAAAATTTAAAAATAAAAATAAATAAAAATAAAAGGAAAACGGAAAAACGTGCTCTGGCCAGACAAAAGCAACTTCAATTTCCTGGCCCACCCCGTCTGCAAAGGTCAAAAAGCTTTTCATCCTGAAGGCAGCCCTGTCACTGGCTCCAGGTGGAAAGTGGCTGCAGCTGACCCTGAATTGCCCTTACTGGTTGGTCAAGGACCACGTCTGGCCATTCCTGGGTGACAGTGGGCTGGCATGTGGCTCAGCGGTCAAGTGCAACCCTTGCATGCATGAGACAAGGGTCTTCAAAAAAGAAAAAGAAAAGAAAAACTGGATTCTGTGTTCGACAGACATTTTCCTTCCGGCATCACATTGCCCTTTTGATGGAATTCCTGTGTCCCCAAGAATACTCTATCCAGAGAGGCTTTCCCTCGGATTTGAAGGAACTATACAGAACTTGACAGGCAACAGCTTAAGGAATTTACAGCCCTGAAAGCAGTTTTGCAAGACATGTTGAAACAGCTCCTTTAAAGGACGGGACAAACTTCCCACCATGTGGCACTCACTAATTGTGTACACAATTGTTTTTTTTTTAGCTTGAGATAGGTTAAAATTAGCAATAAATCATCAAAACAACAACAACAACAAAATGACTGTGTCTCTACCTGAAAATGCAACTTTACAAAGGGACCAGAGAAAGTATCCTAAAGACATGGCTTGGGTACCATGTCCCTGATCGCTGTCTACTCCACCGCACTGGACTTTTCTTCACTCTGGGTCTCCAGGATTCCCTGGCATCACAGTGTTATCCTATTGTTTATGTAGGAAAGGAGATTTAAATTTAAAACACACACACACACGCACGAACTCACAGAAGTCGGGGAGTGGTGCAGTTTAAAGATCAAAGGTGTTAACTCAGTGGTAGAGTACTTGTCTTGCATGCCAGAGGTCTTGGGTTCGATTCCCACAACTGCAGCAAAAGCCCAAAAGCTTTTTAGTTTTATTTCTTGCTATCAAGCCCAGGGGCCAACAACACATATATCATTGACCCAAATGCCGTTCTTCACTCGGGGCATGACTCAAGTGCAGAGAAATATTGCTCAGCCATGGGGGGAGTATTCCCATTCCTACAGGCCTGGCCCATGGGGGCATCCCACTAAATGAACTACACCAGATAAAGGCAAGTCTCGGTGTCTGTAAGCAGGTGATACAGCTGCAGCTGGGGTGCCTGATGGACACATGTCCCTCCAGGGTGCATCCCTGATATCATGGAATATAGTTCTGGGGGCACTTGAACTTCCTCCAATTCTTCCCCTGAAATTCTTGGGGCCAGTCCAGTGTGAACTGCTATAAAGGTAAAGGTAGAGGCCCTCCCGTTGATCGTCGATTTGCTCGAGCGGGCCCAGTAACGTCTCCATTGGAGACTTTGTTGTTACTGTGTCTGGCATATCGAATACTCTCGGTAGCTTGCCGGGCTCTCCGAGAGGGGCGGAGGAATCGAACTCAGGTCGGCCATGTTGGCCGCTTGTAAGGCGAACACCCTACCACTGTGCTATCGCTCCAGCCCTATAGTGAACTGCTATAGGCGCCAAGAATGGACTGGCAACTCCAGAGGAGGGTGTGGGCAAGGGAAGAGATGAGCAATCAAAGAGAGCCTGCTTCCGAGGGTGTCATGGCCAGCACCGAGACAATGAATAGTTTACAAAAAGGTACTGTGCAATTCACAAAGCAAACCCAAATACACACTGCTAGGCTGTGTCATCTTATAAGTGCTCAGCCAGAAGACAACTGTAATTTGAAGGGAAGGATGGACAGAGACTACTGGAGGTAATGCCTTGGCCATGCAGCTGACATGTAACAGTATATACGTACATATATGACATCTCTCGACCGGTATCACACCTACAGACATATAACAGCATAATCATCTAAGATGTACATGTAAGCTCCGATGATTATACTGTTTTTATGTCAAGCATCTCTCCATAAAATTGAAAAAAATGGGCCAGGGCTGTGGCTCAAGTGGTAGAACACTTAACTAATACATGGGGGAGGGGAGGGGCCAGGCTCCATCCCTGGTACCAGAGGGTGTGACCTTGGCAACAACCAAAAATTAACAGCAATCAATTTCTTGAACCAGAAAAATATTAAGGAGAAACAGAAACAGAACAGTGAAGAAAAATAAAGTCTTTCACCCTTGAATGCAAAGCACCTCCAGGCGAGGGAGAACAAACAGAAGGCAGGAATCTTCTGGAATGAGTCATTCTGGAGAACTTCCTGAGAATCCTGGTACTTTCCACTCTCCACTTTCCTAGCCCACCAAGTAAAGCAACATCCTGAATTTACATACTTTGTTTCCTTCCTCTAGCTCTGCCAGAGAATTTGCTTTCCCCCTCCTGTTGGCCAATTCAGCATTTCTTTCAGGATGTGTTTTGGAGGGGATTTGGCGGTTGGGTCCCAGGCACAGCTCAGGGCGACTTCCGGCTCTGTGAGTGGAAGTACTTGGGGAACTATACCGAGCTAGCACGGAACCCCCAGCCTCCTGCATGCAAAGCATGTGTGCCCTCACCCACCCACCCACCCCTGCACCCCCTCTGCCCCCACCCTGCGGGGTCTCACACACACACACACACACACACACACACACACACACACACAAGCTATCTCTCTGGCACTCCTTTTAGGATCAAATCTGTAAACTTCCTGGGACCCCAACCCAACACCATCAACAGTCAAAGGCCCCTTGATTAGAAGCAATTGTCTTTTCATAGGGTCTTTATCAACACAGAGCACAGACTTGGCCATCAAATGTATCTTTTAGAAGGAAGACGCATGTTCAATCCATGGATTTTAGAGATAGCTAAGAGGAAAATGTGCCATACTTTTGGGATTCCCTTTCTTTTTCTTCCTTCCTTCCTTCCTTCCTTCCTTCCTTCCTTCCTTCCTTCCTTTCTTTCTTGAAACTATTCATTGGATAGTCAAAAATAGAGAAAATCAAGGTGCTGAAAAAGATTAAAACTTGGAAACTATGTCTTTTTCAAATAGAAAATGTTTGTGTCAGGAGTTGGGTCTGGAGCATGGGGGCGTAAAGCTTTGATAGTAGAAACTGTAGAAACTGAGGAGAAGACGCCAAGAAGTGCCAAGAGGCACCCAGCCCAGCTCACCAGCTGAGTTGTATCTGGGAGTTTCCCATGGGCGATAACACTGATTCTTCTAACTCAAGGAAAAGCACCACAGTCAGTGCTCTGCCTGGCTCTCCCACCTTTGATGCTTTTCTGGGGAATAGTTCAACCTAGTCTGCTCCAACACAATGTAAATAAATTACAGAACATCAAACAAAGAAGCCATTGTGAATTTTTTTATGAGAATGATGACACGGTAAACACTTGGATTCTGAGCAAGTTTCAATTTCTGGATCTTAGGAGCATTTAATCCTGGAATTTCATGGAAGAGCTTAAAGGAAATCCAAAATTCATTCGTCGAAATGAGTAGATTTTCCTCCAAAAGTTTAAAGCCTGCTCTTATGGTTTTAACAAAATATTGGCATAATCGGTGTTTTAGAGAGATAAAGGTGCTCGCCTTGCATGTGGCTGACTCAGGTTTGAATCCCAACACCCCAGATAGTGACCTGAGACTTGCCAGGAGTGATTCTGAAGTGTGGGTCCCTGATCACGTCCAGGTGTAGGCCCCAAACCAACACAGACACAGACACAGACACAGACACATACACACACACTTATATATGCATATACATGCATATATATTTGTCATATATTTATCTATATCAACATCATGGGCAAGGAGACAGAGCTCAGAGGGCTGGAGTGCAGGGACTGAATGCAGAACCCCAGACTCAATTCCTAGCTCTGCCTGGTCCCCCATGAACAGCACCAAGCACGGATGGATACTGCTCCTTAAATAAAATATAGAACACCTGACACCACAATACTCAGGACATGGATTTACTCATTTAATTCATCTATACCACTGAAAACCATCCCCACACTCCCCTCGCTAAATCTCAACCCAAGACTCTGCCCCATCTTTTCAATGTTTTCCCATTGTTCTTTCTGATCCTATGGATCTGTGAATTGTGTCAATGCCTTCATTTATTAATTTTGTTTGGCATGTGCCTTGCACGCAGGAGACCATGGTTTGATCCCCAGGACACTGGGTTTTCTGAGCAATGAGCCAGGAACAGCCTTTGAGCACTGCTGGGCATCAAGCAAAAACAAAAACAAAAACAAAAACAAATGAAAATGTACATCATGCAAAATTTTCCCAGCGCTGGTGGGGAGGAAGTGAAAGGAATCCCCTCAAGCGACACGGAAAATTATTGTGGAGTAGTCTCCCCTCTGCTGTGGTCAGGAAGTAAGGGGTGACATGACAAGCAGGGCTACGACAAGAAAGAGACCCCCAACCTAGCCCCCAACAGGTGCTCTGCACGGGTCTCCCTGACACCTGGCAACAGCCCAGTCAGCTGATGAGGGCTGAGTCCTGATCTCAGGAGCGCTCATCAGAAATGCAGCTTCATCTCTATCAAAGCTAAACCCCGTCTTCTGGGAGAGACACATGGGGCCATGCTTTCTGGAAAGGATGACAGACACTAGCAGGAATCCACAGATTCAAATGAATCCAGGAACCAGGCAGGATCATCCCAAGCCCTAGTCACAAGGGAGCTACATCAGGCTGTCACCATACCAGCTGGCATCTGAGTCCACTGGCTCCAGTGGGGCCGTGTAGGGGCTCTGCCACTAGTGACCGAAGCAAATGCCCTCCTCACCTCAGCCCTCTCCCCCATCTGTCAGAGACAGGTACGCCATGCTGTTTTTAGAACCCAACACCAGGGCGCTCTCTCTCTCTCTCTCTCTCTCTCTCTCTCTCTCTCTCTCTCTCTCTCTCTCTCCTGTGCAAAGATACATCCAACCACTCCAGGCAAAGCCAACTTCCACACAGTCAAAGTTGGCTTCTATTCGATAGACCAAACATGATTGCCACTCAAAGCCTCTCTTGCAAAACACAGTACCCAAAAGAAGAGAGAGAGAACAAGGGGGAATACCCTGCCACAGAGGCAGGATTGGACGGGGCGGGGGGGGGGGGGGGGGATGAGGGTTGGGGGGGGGGAATGCTGGGACCCGTGGGGATGGATGACGGGCACTGGTGGAGGGATGGGCACTTGATCATTGTATAACTGAAACCCAAGCACAAAATTTGTAAGCCTATAACTGTACCTCATGGTTTTTCACTAATAAAAAAAAAGGAAAAATAAAATAAAATAAAATAAAAAAAATAAAAAAAAAAAACAAAGTTGGCTTCTATAAAGCAATCTATCCATTTTGGTTCGATTTGGGAACTCTGCCCAGCAGCACTCAGTAGCTACTTCTGGTGTGATGCTCGGGGGTTATCCCTGGAGTACTTGTTAGCGGGGACCATGCAGGGTTATGGAGGATTGAGCCCAAGGCTCCCATATGCAAAACATGTGCCCCAACCCTTTGAGCCATCTTCCTGGCCCCTAACTATCCCTTATAAATGTCTCCTGTCCTCTCTGCTTCAGACCCCTCTGATCCCTTCACCACCCCCCAGAGGTGGAAGCCTCGGGTCATACCTGAAAATTGGCGACAATGCCCATTCCGATACATCCCACCAATCCAAGAACTAACGACACCAGGTTAAAAACAGGAGTGCTGAAATAGCTGGTTTGATTTTGCTTCTCTACTATTTTATATCTTGTGTACATTGTGGCCGCACCTAAAGAAAGAAAGACATCTGATTAATTTTAACATTGGATGTGTCCTTTTGGTACGAACTTTTTCTTACTTTTTAAAATGAAAAACACAAGAACAATCTAGAGTTGCTTCATTGATGTTTCTGTTCTCTATTTCCAGATAGCAATTGTCTTTCCATCAGTCCACCCTGTCTGACCTCCTCACCTGTCCATTCTATGTGATCGGGACACTCTCTCTCTCTCTCTCTCTCTCTCTCTCTCTCTCTCTCTCTCTCTCTCTCTCTCTCTTCCTCTCTCTCTCTCACACACACAATCTTTGTTGTTACCCTTTTCACACAATTTGTACTGTTTATTTATCGCATCATACATAAAATTGAACCATACAATTTTTATATATTGTATAGTCACTGACTGCTTGTCATTTTTGGTTTTATTTTGTTTTTATTTTAATCCAAACTAGTGGGGCTCAGGCTTCGTCCTGATTCTGTGCTCAGGGATCACTCCTAGTGGGCTGATGTGGGAAGCCAAGGATCAAACTTTGGTCAGCTGAGTGCAAGGCAAGTACCCTACCTGCTGTGCTATCTCGCCAGCCCCTGCTTGCTGGTTTGTTGTTGGTTTTGTTTTTTTTTCCAGTGAAAAATATGCTAAGACAGGGCTGAGCTCAGGAGTGAAGTACATATATGACATTCCAGACACTGGAGTTCGATTCCAGATACGAGGCAGGGAGGGAGGAAGAGAAGAAAAAGCACTATGATGATTTTGTTGAAAGTATTCAGAAGACTTTTAGATGTTTTTTGAGAGGACTAGTTCCTAAAAGTCGTTTTACTAGGACCCAATAAGCCAAACCAAACCAACCAAACAAAAGGTGAATGTACATATAAAATTGTTAGAAAGGTCAGGGTGTGGTTCAGCACACATGCCTTGCAGGTGGAGGACCTGGGTTCCATCCTTGGCACACACACACACACACACACACACACACACACACACACACACACACACACACACACAGAAATATCTTCAAATTACTCCAAGACTGTCAAAGGATTCATACTCCCAGCGGCAGGGCCTGGCTGCAATTCTGGCCTCCAGCTGCCAATTGAATGAAATAAAGTGGCTGAAAAGTGGTGGCAGGTTGGTTTCATCTGTGTCTCCCTGATTGTCAGTGAAATGGAGCAACTTCCATCCACGTTTCAGTTGATACACTGCACATTTTAAATTTTTCTTTTCTCTCTTGAGTTTTTCTATTCATTTTTACCATGTAGTTGCTTTTTTATAATTAAGTCACTAGTCCACTGTCTGCTAAATAAATATACCAAGGGTTTTCTTCCTTGTTTATCTCTCTTCTTTAGCTGGCTTTTATTTTTCTCCCCATCACCAAAAGTTTCCATTTTTCAATCTTCCAAATATGTTGCTTATTTCCTCATTGGCTTCTGGAGTTTTTGTTAGTTCATATAAATTTTCTGTTGTTGTTTGTGTGTGTGCATGGCGGGGAGGAGGAGGGTGTTTGTTTTTATTTGTGAGAGGGCCCACATTCTTCAGTGCTCAAGGCTCATTCCAGGCTCTGTGCTCAGGGACCACTCCTGGCAGTGCTCGGAGGACCATATGCAGTGCCTGGGAGCTAGTGGGAGTTGGCCATCAGCAAGTCAAACACTTAGCCCTCCATGCTAAGGTTTCAAAATGATTTTCCTAAGACTAAATTCTATTAGAGATTTGTTTGGTAAGTTTAGTCCTTTAACTGCTATTGATTTGTTGTGAATGAAGTGAGAACACTAAAGGTATGTTTTCCCAAAGAGAAAATCAATTTGCCAATTATCCCTTACTGCTTTGAAGAATAATTTGGTTTTAAAAAAAAATGGGGGAGGGGAATCAGAGATGGGAGATATAATAGCTCAGCAGATCGGAGTGTGTGCTTGGAGTGTCACATCCAGAGTGACCCCCAAGATCAGTCAGGGACCAGCCAGAGGTAAGCAAGAGTACAGAGTCTGCCACAGATCTGCCACTTAGCAGATCAATGTAGAATGAGTGAATAGGTGTTAACATTTTAGGTCCAGATTCCCTTTAACTGGATAAATGTGTCTTCTAGCAAAACGCATATAAATATGCAAAGATACGTTTTAAAGAATGCTTATTTCAGCATTGTAAGCCACCACTCAACAAAAAGTCAAAAATAGTGTGGGGGGAGGGGCAATCGATGGTACAATAGTACAGCGGGCAGGGCATTTGCCTTGTACACAGCTGACTGGGTTTGGTCTCCAGAATCCCATATGGTTCACTCAAGCACCATCTGCAGTAATGACTCCTGAAGGAGTAACCCAGATGTGACCCAAATAGCAAATAAACAAACAAACAAACAAAAAAATAGTGTCAGGACTGGAGAGATAGTACAGCACGTAGTTGTGCTTGCCTTCCATGTGGTCAACCTGGGTTCAATATCTCACAGGGTCCTTGAGCACTACCAGGAGTAATTCCTGAGCATCACTGGGTGTACCACCCCTCGCCCCCCCCACACACAATATTCTCAATGTTTACCATTAGGAATTGATCGAATTATAATACATTTGTGAGATGCAGATCCACAGACAGAGTTTCTGGGGGTGGAGGGCTCCCTAGCCGTGCCGAGGGAGCCAAAGGCCACTCCACATGAGTCTCAGCCAGCCGGGCTGGTGGCTGGCTGTGTGGACCCAAGGATGCAGCTCGAGTGCTGTGTATCCAAAACCCACTAGCACTCCAAGCCCCCAAGGCTGCACCCTGAAATGCTTGGAAATCAAACACCGACACTATCTCCCCAGTCTCCAGAGACTGTATGACAACTATCATGTCAGATTTAGCCTTGCAAAAGACTAAAAGAGAAGCAAAAGCCATATTTATCATCCATGAACAAGAAAAATGAACTCTTTCCTTGGTATGTTTTTGTTTTGTTTGGGGGCCACACTCAGTGGTGCTTAGAGGCTCCTCCCTGAAGTGACCGAAGACCAGGCAGCACCAAAGATCAAGCGTGGGCATCCACAACCTGCAACCCTGGGAACTATCTGCCCAAGTAATTAATTTCTATTTTGGCTTTTCCCAATTCGCCTCTAAACCTCTGGGAAAAGATCACAACTAGCAGTCCTTTAGGGAGACTTCTATTTTTTCAGGGGGTAGGAAGGTAGGAGGCAATCGCCTGTGGTGGGCATGACTTTCTCCTGGCTCTGTGCTCAAGGATCACTCCTGATGGGGCTCGGGGGCCATGTGTGGTGCAGGACATCAAACCCGGGTCACTCGCTTGCAAGGCAAGGGCGTTCCCTGCTGTATGATCTCTCCAGATAGAGGGAGACTTCCAACCAAGTAGGATGAACAAATTCCAAAGGTGCCGGGTGACTCACGAGGGTTTCCAGCACTTTGTTTTTTTCCCAGCCCACGCCAGTGGACAACAGAGAATCTGTTGGCAACAAGAGCAGGCCAGGCCCCTGGCCAATGGCTGGCTATTGAGCAGGGCAGGGGGCTGCGGAAGGACTAAGAGCACATCTCTTCTCCCGACACCCACATCAATGTCCCACTCCTTGCCTGCATCCCATCGACTGCCTGTCTGAGTAGCTGAAAGGAAAAAGAATATTGATCCCTGAGCGGGAGACACACTGTTCTGACTTTGCCATTTTTCTGCTCTCAGCAGGTGAGAGACTTCTGCCAGTGATCAGCAAGCCTGAGTGAGTGTCCAAGGCCCCTGAGCACTTCTTCCCCATGTGGACTCTTGGGTGCCCCCGCCAGAGGTGCTAAGTGAGTCGACCCGCAGTATGGCCCAGAATCTGTAGCGATGCTGGGGATCTACCCCATGTGTTCTTCCAAAGAGCCATGCCAGGCCCAGAACATGCATTTTAAGCAGCACCCAGGGCATCCCATCTTCTCTATTTGGTTTCTTTGTTGCTTTGGGGTTATACCTTGGCAGAGTTTAGGGGCCACTCCCAGAGGTCATTCGTGGAAGTGCTGGGGGATTGCTACCAGAGTGTTCGGGGGAACATTCCGTGCTAGGGGCCTCACCAGGGCTTCCTGTGTGCAAAGCAGGTGCTCCAGCCACTGCTCTAGCCCTGCCACGCCCCCACCAGCCCTCCCACAAGACGATTTTTTAAAATTTTTTATTAGTGAAACACCATGAGGTACAGTTGTAGACTTACAAATTTTTGTGCTTGGGTTTCAGTTATACAATGATCAAATACCCATCCCTCCAACAGTGCCCATTCCCCACCTCCACTGATCCCAGTATCCCTCCCACACCCCACGAGATGATTTTCATGGAAGTTCCTGCAAAGCATGAAAATCACTTGATTATGCAAAAGGCATCTTTGGCCCACACAAAAGCAAGCAGACATAAATCACATTTCAAAAAAAAAATCAACAGCCAAAGTCCATTTCAAAATTCTGTGGCAGATTATTGACTAAAGTAAAAAAAAAAAAAATTTCTGTAAGGAAGCCATACATACATAAGATTAAATGTCTCATCATTTTAGTTTCTCAAAGTAGGACAGAACTCTAGTTACAAAAGTTTCATTTAAAAGTATAGGGGTGGGAGGGATACTGGGATCAGTGGTGGTGGAAAAAGGGCACTGGTGGAGGGATGGGTACTCGATCATCGTATAACTGAAACCCAAGCACAAAAATTTGTAAGTCTACAACTGTACCTCATGGTGTTTCATTAATAAAAATTTTTTTAAAAAAGTATACACACCTGAGAAGCAGAGAGATAGTACAAGGAAGACGCCTGCCTCGCATGTAGCTGATCCTGACTCAACCCCTGGCACCTAATAAGGTTGGTCACTGCAGCATTGCCAGGAGTGAGCCCTCAGCACAGAGCCAGGAGTGACACCACTGAGTGTAGCCCATCATAAAAAAATAAATATTACACACACACACACACACACACACACATATACATGGGGCTGAAGCAATAGCATAGCAGATAGGGTGTCTGCCTTGCACGCGGCCGACCTGGTCAACCTGGGTTTGATTCCTCCGCCCCTCTCGAAGAGCCAGGCAAGCTACCGAGAGTATCTCACCTGCACGGCAAAGCCTGGCAAGCTACTCGTGACTATTCAATATGCCAAAAACAGTAACAAGTCTCACAATTTGTTGTGAGACATTACTGGTGCCCGCTCGAGCAAATCAATGAACAATGGGAGGACAGTGCTACAGTGCTACATATATACACATCAAGAGTTAGCCCTGGTGTAAAGGCAATTGTAGAGGATAGCATTTCTCTGCAGGTTCAATTGTACCAATGTGTCCCTTGGGAGGGGAGGCCAGAGAGGGGTCTGGGTTTACATGAAAAATCAACCTTTTGCGATGAAGTCATGAAATTTACATACAAGTGGTACAACATGGAAAGTATCATGCTAAGCGAAATGAGTCAGAAAGAGAGGGATAGACATAGAAAGATTGCATTCATATTAAAGTAACAAAATATGAGACTAATACCCAAGAATAGCTGAGATCAGCACCAGGAGAATTACTCCATAGCTTAGAGGCCAGCCGGGCATTCTAGGGGAAAGGGCAGCTCAGATAGAGAAGGGAGCACCAAATAAAGGGTGTTTGGAGGATCCTCCCAGGAGGGGAGATGCATGTCGAAAGTAGACTATGGACTGAACATGTTTGCCACTCAATGCCTCTTTTGCAGACCACAACACCCAAAAGGAGAGAGAGAACACAAGGGATTGCCCTGCCACAGAGGCAGGGGGGGATGGGGGGATGGGGGTGGGGGGGATATTATCCATGGTGGTGGAAAATGGGCACTGGTGGAGGGTTGGGTATCTGATCATTGTATAATCGAAACCCAAGCACAAAAAATTGTAAATCTACAACTGTACCTCATGGTGTTTCACTAATAAAAAAAAAAGAAAAAGAAAAAAGAAAAATCAACCTTTTGCTTCAATCTAGCTATGAAGCAAAAAAAAAAACTAAAAAAAAGGTTAAAAAGACAAATTGAAAGAAGAATATTCTAAATTAGATAAACTATAAAGACGTGTGTCTCTGAATTTTTTATGTATAATCATTATGTTGTACTCACCAAGAAATGCAGAGAAGTTTATCATAAATCCAAAAATACCACTTTCTGGTGGTGTTGTTCCTGTATCGCTGAGAAACAGAAGAAATGTCTGAATTATTATAAAGGAATTCAGGTCAGGGCAGGGACGGTGCTCGGGGTAGAGCACTACCTATGTGAGGCCCCGGATTCCATCCCCAACACTGCAAAAGAAAGAAAAAGGAATTCAGATCTGTAAACGGCATCTAATGGGCAGTTTTACAGTTTCTTCTCAGCGTTCAGTCACTTTGAATTGACCTGATTTTGTTCTGCAATATTTTCATTTTAGCTCTGAAAAATCTAAAAAAAAAAAAAATACATACATGTTGTTTGGTTTTAAGGCCATACCAAGTGGTGCTCAGGACTTAAACTCAGGAACCTCTTATGACTCCTGGGTCATTCCTAGTGGAATTCGGGGAACCTTATGTGGTTCTAGGGATTGAACCAGGGTCAGCTATATGCCAAGAAAGCACCTTAACCTCTGTACTACTCCACGACCCCTAAAATTAATTTTCCTACCTACCATAATAGATTACATTTAGTTTTCACTGTGAAAGCTAGCATTTGTTAAAAGTGAATGGGGGTGGGGGTGGCAGAGCAACAGTACAGCAGGTAGGACACTTACCCTGCACGCAGCTGATCTGGGTTCGATTCCTGGTACTACCTCTGGTTTCCCCAAGCCCTTCTAGGAATGATCCCTGAGCAAAGAGCCAGGATTAAGCCCTGAGTATCACTGGGTGTACAACCCCGGCCTGCTCCCCCCAAAAAGTGAATGGTGGTGGTATTTCTCAGAATGGTCAAATCTGGTGATAAACTTGGTGTCATGCTTAAGGAACTGAGTGTGTCTATTTAGAAAACAGAATAATCTAGGGGCTTGAAGAGGGAACTCAAGGAGAGAATGCATGGAAAGCATATATGAGGCTCTGGGTTCAATTACAAACCTCTTTCTCTCTCTGTCTCTCTCTCTCTCCCCGCCCCCGTGTGTGTGTGTGTGTGTGTGTGTGTGTGTGTGTGTGTGTGTGTGTGTTTTACAATACAGGTACTGAGAAGTTATCATTTTTGTTCCTTTACCTGCTTTCAGCATGCAATTCTTATCCAGAGTGATCATTGTCTATCATTACTTTTGGTATTCCCAAAAGATCTTGATTTACTACCATTTTTTATTTCCATAGTTATGGTACAAAAAATAAACTATAGATTGAAATAATTTTAGGAGTTAACACAAAATGTGTTCTCCTTAGTAGGTCCAAAGACAAAGGAGACATTTTCCAAAAAACGTGTTACAAATATAAATCAATTCTTCTCAGGATGATGCTCTCCACCGAAGCACCCTTTAAGTGAAAACTGTTTCTGTGATTATTATTTTTAAAATTCACTTACCAAAAATTCACTTACCCTCTCCTATTCAGAGATATACTTCAATGAAAAATAAATGATGGTAGGACAATTTTTAAGACCCCCTTTTTTTTAAGATTGGGTTTTTTTTTTTAATGTTTTAATAGTGAGACATCATGAGGTACAGTTGCAGACTTACACATTTTTGTGCTTGGGTTTCAATTATACAATGATCAAATACCCAGCCCTCCACCGGTGCCCATTTCCCACCACCACGGATGCCAGTATTCCTCCCACCCCCCAAGCCCCCCATCCCCCCATCCCACCCTGCCCTCTCAAAAAAAAAGGCTGTGAAAGAAAAATTGATGGCTAGAGAACTGGTTCCTGGCTAGAACACAGTCTTTGCATATGGGAAGCCCAGGTTTGACCCCCAATACCGCATGGTCATTCTGAGCACAGCCGGGCATGACCCCTGAGCACCGAGCCCCTGAGCACTGCTGGGTGTAGCCCCAAACACTCCACTCCTGCCCAAAACAGAAAAATTTTAAGTCACACTTGAAAAATCTCCATAAAAAGTGCTTTTTCATTTTCTTTAAAGAAATCTGATTTACCGATGAGTTACACTGCTGAAAATAGAACCCTGTTCAGGAAGCTGAGCAATGTTATTGATCCCTGTCAATATTTTCTGGGAATGATGTGGTATTGCGGGGAGGGATTCCTTGTAAATTATTTCAGAAAAGAAGTCATTCCTATTAAAAAAAAAAACATTTTTAGGTGCAGTATAACAAATATAGCAACATAGAAATGAATTGAATTTTCTGAAAAAGTTGTGTTCAGCATTGTTTTCGAGACATTTATGCCAAAATGAAAGGTATTTGGCGGGGTGTGGGAGGAGTGTTCAGTGGGAAATATTTTCACTTGAGCTCTCAACAGTGCTCAGGGCTTTCTCCTGGCTCTGTGCTCATCCCTGATGGTGTTTGAGGGACGCAGGAGATGCAACGAGGGTCACCTGAGTGCAAAGCAAGTGCCTTCACCCCCGTTCCCCCAAGACTGAAATGTTTCCATTTTCAAACTGCTGACACAAAGCATGGTGTAAAACTGACGGCCACGGAGCTCCCGACACCTCGGACCCTGGAGTGTCTCCAAGTTTGAAAAGAGCTGAGAGCTGCGTCTTGCGAAACCCAGGCAGTGGCAGAGGCCCATTCCGAAGTGTTTGAAGAACTGCATAAGAAGCCTGTGCGTGCAGAGAGGAGGGGCCTTTGCAGTGGACGAACACTTAACCTTGGAGGAGTCTGGAGAGGTTCAGCAGCCCCTCTGTACCCGAGATCCCAGTCTCAGCGGCACAAGGACCTCAGGAGCACTAAGGAAGAGGTTAGCAGGTAACAGTCTCCCACCAGTGAGTCAGCTCCACCCACAGGCCCTAGGCCCTGAGGCCTTTCAGAGTGTGCCCCCAGGAAAGAGGAGCAGAGGCAGCTCCTTCCCTCAGGCACATGGGCAGGAAGGAAGATTACCTGGCCCAGGGAAATCAAGCTTCCAACTCAAGGGCCTGGAGTTTAACTGTAGCTCTCTGGGACTCAGGCTTACTCTGACACTTCTCTGAGAAGAAACTACTGCCAGGAAGGAATAGCTCCCAGTAAGGAATAGCTCCCAGTTTTGTGGAGAAAGGGAAGGAAATGAGATTGATTGATTGATTGATTGATTGATTGATTTAGTTGTTGTTGTGGGGGGGGAGGGGCGGGAGAAGGCATACCCAGTGACCCTCAGGGCTTACTCCTGGCTCTGCACTCACAGATCACTCCTGGCAGCCTCAGGGGACCACACAGTTGCCAAAGATGAAACCTGGGTGCACCTCATACAAGGCTCTAAGAGCCCTAGGGCCAGAGTCACAGTACAGGGGTAGGGGGGTTGCCTTGCATAGGGTCCCCTGGGCACCACCAGAAGTAATTTCTAAGCTCAGAGCCAGGAGAAAGTCCTAAACCCTAAGCATCATCAGAGGTGGCTCAAAACATGAGAGAGAGAGACAGAGAGACAGAGAGACAGAGAGACAGAGAGACAGAGAGACAGAGAGAGAAAGCATCTTACCCGCTGTACTATTGCTCTGGCCAGAGAGAACAAGAAAGATTTAGAGGGGGACAAAAATCCAAGTGGGTGAAAGGGATAGAGATTCACTAACAGGAGAAGCAAAAAACAAGACTCTGGAGTTCTTTGTCCACTGACAGCAAACCCAGAAGAACGCCAAGGGCTTTGATTTCTCAAAGGTCCACCTGACTTCAAGTGTGCAATCTGAAAATCTGAACACTCAGAATTTCAGAATGTACCTTATTACTGTTTATCCAGGCATTTAAAATGACGCAGGCAGAATCACGTAGGTCAGGGAGAGAATTCAGAGGGCTAGAGCACATGTTCTGCATTGTAGGAACCCTGGGTCAGATCCATAGGATCATATGGTCCCCAAGCACTGCACAGCAGGAGTGTCACCCCCACCTCAAATCACAATCCTGGGAGTAGCTCCTAACTAAACACTGCCAGGTGTGGTCCCAAAACTAAAACTAAAATAAAGTTACATGGGCGAAGTCAAACGTGCTTTACAAATAACCATTCACTTATGTATTCATTGAACGAATGATCAGTGGTACTAAAAAAAACTGACTTAACAGATAACACTTTCTTGAGCACTTGCTATAAACTTATCAACATTGTTAGGACCTTCCCCGAGATCATTTCATTTCATTTTCAAAACCCTTAGGTAAGTCTTATGGCAACCCCATTTTACTAAGGGAAAAAAAACTGGAGAGCATAGAAGTTATCGAATTTGTTCAAGGCCCAGAGCTATTAAGTAGTGAACTCTACATTAGGCCCAAAATGGAGTCACTGATGCTAACCACTAACCCTGAGTCATCAAACTGAGACACAGCCACATTACCATCCGAAAACTGGAACCTTAAACCAATGAGAAGTCACCTTATCAGGATTAATCAACCTAGTAAGTGGCTGCCATCACCTACAAACTTGCAACAGCCAATATAATTTTATGTCTCATGTTATCTCTGCTCCCTTCTACCTATAGAAAAAAATGTTCATGAGGGAGGCGGGGAAGAGCAAAGAATTAGACCAGACTAGGCCAACTTCCAAGGTGTAAAAACTCCCGGTATGCCAAAATTCCAGCCATCAAAATGTAGGTCACTGACATCTGCACTTGTTTGTTCATTGCAGCACTGTTTACAATAGCCAAAATCTGGAAAAAACCTGAGTGCCCGAGAACAGATGACTGGTTAAAGAAAATTTGGTACATCTACACAATGGAGTACTATGTAGCTGTTTAGAAAAGTTGAAGTTATGAAATTTACATACAAGTGGTACTACACGAAAAGTATCAAGCTAAGCAAAATGAGTCAGAAAGAGAGGGACAGACATAGAAAGATTGCATTCATCAACATAAAGTAACAAATAGGAGACTAACACCCAAGAATAGCCGAGATAAGTACCAGGAGGTTCACTCCATGGCTTGGAGGCCAGCCACACATGCTAGGGGAAAAGGCCGCTCAGATAGAGAAGGGAGCACCAAATAAAGGGTGTTGGGAGGATCCTCCCAGGATGGGAGAAGCATGCTGAAAGTAGACTATAGACCAAACATGATTGCCACTCAATGCCTCTTGCAAACCACAGCACCCCAAAGGAGAGAGAGAACAAAAGGGAATGCCCTGCCACAGAGACAGGG